TTTGGAAATTTTTTTCTACCAGCGTTACTTTTTAAAGACCTCTTAAAGCAGTTTTTAGTTATGAAGAATGTGTGCGAGAGAAATTGGCAGTGTTTTTCACAATTATTCTATGAAAAACCACCGGAGTGCTGGACCTAACAACGCTAACTACATAGTGATCATGTTTAAATATGTGTTAATCATTTGGTGATGAAACAGTGTTCGTTTTTCCTAAAGGGAAGAACTATCGGATCTTTGGACTATTAATCTTTATGGACAGTCTAAGCTTAAGGGTTACGCCTCTAACTTATATACTTGCTCTAATGGCATTTTGAGGTTTTATTTAGGCAAAGATCTTTGTAGGGGAGGAATAGATGGCTAATTTAATAACCCTAATGTGGTCTATTTTCTGTTGCTATCGAGGAAGAGAGTCACACCAGATACCGAGGTAACTGTTGCTACTGATCGCTTTCCTCAAACAAGGGCACTGCCAGCTGTAGCTCATGTACTTGTAAAGGTGTTTAATTGAGTTTATCACGATCGTGTTCTGATTTTTAAGATAAGGCCATGAAAGTTCTTTATTTCTAATCAGAGAAAGAAAAACAGTCGCAGCTATCATCAGAGATAGTTTTACATCTGCAGAAGAGATTGCAATCTCGTCAGAATCAGTAGCTATTTCTTGAGATAACTATCTGTGTATGGCAATGTAAACGTCCGTACAACTTTCAGCCCAAACGTACCTTTGGAGAAAAAGTTGAATTTCGGATGTTTTCTGTGTGTACGTACTTTTTTTATCACAACACATTGTAAAGATATGAGAAAAAGTAATCTTAAGTTTACATGATCATGGTATACAATGCATGAGGTGCGATGCAACATTGCAGATTAGCTGGGCTCTTGAAGGACGACGATATTGAATAAAGGCTCTTAAATTTCCGTCATTTGAACAGATATCGCAAAGTGCTGGTTTATATCAATTTTTGTCTCAAGTATTTAAGTTGAAATAGGACTGATTTCGAACACACACCTTTCAAGAGAGCTCTGTGAAGGACCTCGATACATCCTATAGTTTCGCGTCTACTTGCTACTTTAAGCTTTTGATGAGCATATACTGGTTTTGCTCGACTAAACCTCTTTGAGAGGGCTGCTTTTGGCTATTTTTAGAGTTGTTAACGTGCCAAAAGAGCGAATGATAATAAAAGCACTCTTAATGTCCTCCAAACCAAGGGAGGTACAGTCTTTAAATTTTAACAAAAAGAGCTTTATCTAAAGGGGCCAAAATAGAATAGAAAGATTAAAGTGTAATCATTTATACTTCGGTTTTAATTGTACCACTGTCATCGTCCATTGCCTCAAGCAGAGTATAGCGCAAATCACAACGGCGTGAAGTGCTACATTGGAAGCATGTTGCGCCAAGTTATAAACTCAAGTTTATTAAAAAAAAACCTGAAGAATAGAGGGATTAAATAAGCCATGTTTTATGCTATTGAATTTATTTTCACGACACGCTATCCAGGCATGTATTCAGTCGTACCTGACAAGTCTTACAAGCGTAACGAGGATTTGAGTGAAAAAAACAAGCGTTTCTTGTTGCGAAGGACAGAGAGGGAGATAGTAAATGTAGAAGACTTATATGAGTCACTGCCAAGTTTTCGGGAAAAAAGTGAAAGAAGGTATGGGTAGCTTCATTGGACTAAATTGGATTACTACTGGATAAGACAAAAGCTTTGAGATTTAACATGTAATTAAACTTCGTGTGTCCGTCAGTTGAAACGTGGAGTGTCTAGTACATGTGTTGTGCGTCAGGTGATCAATTCAGAACTAATTTTCAACGCACTGAGAAGGTAAGAGGCAAATTGCTTGCGAGTTTAGTTTACAAGGAAACCACCAATAGATAGCATTTTTTAAAATAGTTTTACTCTAAGAAAATATTTAGAACATTCAAAGATTTTGTCCGGGCATAAATACCAGTTGCTCACTACAGCGGCAGTTGGGGTGAAATCTTTTGAAATAATATTCGATTTAATACGCGTCAAACTTAATTGTAAGGTTTGGAAGCATCCTCTCGAAGTAGTTATTTCAGGCATTGGTAATGCAATGAAACTTAAGGCTATACTCAAAATGAAAGTAAAGTAACTACAATACCTAACAAGTGTAAAACTTTGTCTTACTTCAGACACCATGCATTCAAACGATTAATCCATAATTACTTCACTAAAGTTTCCGTAACAATGCACCTTCATGTACTTGTATGAAATATTTATTTTCGCTCATTAACTTTCTCTCAAGGCTTTTCATCCATCGTTAGCTGTATGACTTATTTATTTCAGAGGTGGACTAATTTATAAAAGGCGTCAAATTTACGAGTATCTACAGTAAACTCTTAGCCTCAGTGAAGAAGGTAAGCACTTTAGAAAGAACCTCAGAGATATTGACTCAACGCTAATGTAGCTTTAGACAAGCAATTAATCATAAAACTACCGCATTTGCGCTTCTTCGTGAATTTCACTTTACCATGTAAAGGAAAAGTACTTAAGTGCTTAATAGGTTCCAAACGATCGAAGCGTAAAGCCAGCATCCATCGGTGAGCAGTATTTGTCCTTCAGTGTATTTGACCTTCACACTCAAGTACATTTGATGAGCTGTAGCAATGAATAATAATAAAAAATAATTACCGTAGGTTATCTCAGTTACGTTTCAGTTACTACAGTTCTCAGACTTTCAACTTTCTTTCTTTCAGAGATTTGTGTCAGGTAAGAAATATCGAACATCGTTTTCCGGTATGTAATTGCAGTCTCTGACATGGCTTTCACATTTCATGTAAGACTGAAGATTTCAGGAGCAATCAACTGTGTGATTCAAATAGAGTTGTAGCATAAATTCACCGAATGATCTGTGTACAGTTGAGTTTGTTCTAGTAGCGTTAATGTTGATAAAGATTCGTAGAAGGTGTCCTTCTTAGCTGATCTCTTCCGAAGCGGCCTTTGAGCCGGAAGAGAAGAAAGAATAACTAAATCTTGAAGAGATTTCAGTTGTTTTCATTGTTCAGGTTTTGAACCTCTTAAACAAACAAGAGTTTATATTCTGAGAAAATATTCAAGTTATGAATATTGGGTCATTATACGCCTCATTTAATAAAATCTGTATTTTGTTCACCTAGCCTCAGAGTTATGCATCTCTACCTCCATGTTGCCGGTCCGGATAATAGGGACAGACAGCAACTTTGATTTCCACATTTCGAACGAGGACAATTCTCCTCAGGTTATGTCCACGATTCACAAAAAATTTCTGGCTCTATAGGAATAGACAAATCCGTTCCTCTTGAAAGGTTGTTAAATTACAGAGACCTACATAGTTAGACTGTGCTTCTACTCGCGTGAGAGCCTTTCACAAGATCTGGCCTTGAATTACAAAAAAATGTTTATTACGCAAAGGTCGTTTATCGTTCTAGTTCCCCTACTTTTTATCTGATATCTCATACATCTGCCAAAGAGATCATGCAGTTCTTTACATGGAAATCTGTCTATTCACATCTTCAAATTCAATTAAAGCGCGCAGTAATGCTCGCTGGCTTTTATTTACGGAGGTATACCGTCCACAAATTCATTCAAATAGTAATTGTATCCTAAGAAACATTCGTTCTAAACATCTGTCGTGGTTGACTACTTTTCTTACGAGACCTATTTTGGGGTAAGTAGTCTCGGATTTGGTGTCTTTCGTCCATGAAATGATTTGAGAGAAACAAAGGTCTTTTTGGTTTATTTTCCTGAAAGGATTAAGCTCATATATTAAAAATGCATCGTGTTTTTTTATGTTTCCTCTTGAGGGCGGAAAGCTTTGAACGAGGTGCTGTTATTTTTACTCATAACAAGGCTTAAAATGTAGATCGTTGAACTGGTAATTTCTCCTACAAGCAAAATTTCCACTTTCTCGGCGATCAATGAAACACCATGAATATCAACGTCGTGGCTTCAAAAATTTCACTAGAAAATGAATGTGAAACCAGCGATTTTAAAAACACGTTTGTTCAGCGCTGCACAAACCCTTTCCCATGCTCTTCATTGCTTATTCTTGGATTTCAAATCAACTTGTCTCTCGTAAAAGAATTACATATCAGAGAAAAACGCGCAATTTTATTTGAAAGGGTAAGTCGCGTGCACGCGTGGCTGAAAGCCGTCGTTGCGCGCGCGATATTCTATGACGCACACAGCACAAACCTCGATTATTGACTTTGCGTCACTCCTGGGAGTCAATGCTTATTATCGTCTTTTCTTTGTCAAGGTCGAGCACCAGTTTCCTAAGCCGTGTTCGATATTTAATGTTGGAGCCTAACGTCTCCTGTTCGTGTTAGGCGCTCAAATAATTTCCGTGTGTTTTCTGTGGGAGATAAACTTCTGGTATTCCTGGAGGGCGGTCTTCTCAGTAAAAGCAAGGCGCATAGCGAGGGAACTCAGCTGGTCATAGAAAAACGATAAAATTGGAAAACGCTGTGCTGTGCTTGCATCTTCTTCTGTTCATTTATTAACGAATTGGACCAAACGCCTCTGAAATTACATCTTATTTTCACCGCCCAAGATCCTCGACACCCCAAACAAAAGAGCTTGCGGTGTGAACCCAACTTCCGCAGATTTCGGACCTAATTTTCCACCCAGATTACGAGCTTTGGGGAGTTTATAGCACCAATGAGAAGAAACGCTAATTTCATGTGACCCAGATGTTCTCATGGGTGTCAACCTCTCCTACGATGGCTTGCTGCGACTAAAATTGTTTGAATACAAGTTTTATTGAAACAGCCGCAAAGATTGAAAGCGCTCTGTGGGGCGCTCTGACGGTGGGTGCAAAAATACGATGTGATGAATGAGACACCCAGCGAGGTGGCATAGAGCATGCGCGTGCTACACCAGCCTCTGTCGTAAGGAACACATAACAGCCACTAGTGACAACATTCAGAACAGTGCAACGACGGCAGGGAGTGGGACGCGTCTCCTTCCTCTTACAACTATTTAGATTTTTACCCCTACGCGCTCCCTGACGAACTGGAAATATATTTAGATACGATGGGGAGTGAGGAGTTCAGCCACTTTCGTCCTTCTATCGTCGTGAAAACAGAGCCCCTCGAAAGCACCGCGTTTGAATACACCAGTCTGTCTGAAACCGAGTCTAGGGTCGTATTTCGAAATTATTACGAGGTGCATACAGACAGACACCTGATGGAGAGGACAAGCTCTGTAGAATCTTTGCAGAGTGGAAGCGAGAGTGAACAAGACATGAGGGTGCGAATGGACACCACTGAGCGCTCGATCGAACTACGTCCGCGAGAGGAGGTGAGCCGGAGTGAATATTTTTCCTTCCCGGCCTATCGAGCAGATTGGAAGACGGGCTCGCCTGGCCCAGAAGAGGAGAATTCGGAACAAGGCGAAAATAACTGCGATCGCATCGAGGAGGAAAGTACCACTTCGGAAGAAGCTCGCAGATCACCGCACAATAATGATTCGTTAAAAATTTACTCAACAAGTCCTGCGCTTCGCGATCACAACTCGAGCGCGGCTGTTAGCCAAGCACAACATGACATTGTTATCCCTGGAATACCCTCAAACACACACAATGGGATTAACATAGTCTTTCACAAGCAATGTAAGCTCAATATGGACGCACCTGGCAAATTGTACAGCAGAGAAGCGTATTCTCCCAACGAAAGCTATATTCCGCGCGCGGAGAGGTACGCGCCAGACCTTCCTCCCTCGCTCGTGTACCCCACGCTAACGGAGCAACACAGTTTGAACGCCGTTCGTAACTCACGAGAGAGTCAAGATCCTCACTCATCAAGTTACGATGCAAAATGCCCGTCAGCACGTTCACCAGTATTAATTTGCGAGTGGATCCAGCTCGAGAAGATGGTGAACCAAATATGTGGGATAGGATTTTATCGCATAGAGGACCTTGTAACGCATATCACCGACGTTCATCTTGTCTCTGCCACGCCTGTTGGTTTCGTCTGTTGTTGGAAAGAATGCATGCGAAATGGACTGCCATTCAAGGCTAAGTACAAGCTAATCAACCACATTAGAGTTCACACGGGCGAGAAGCCTTTCATGTGCAATCAGCCGGGCTGTAGGAAGAGCTTCGCACGCGCAGAGAATTTGAAAATACACGTTCGTACGCATACGGGCGAGAGGCCGTTCGCGTGCGAATTCAAAGGCTGTGATAAACGATTTGCGAACTCAAGTGATCGCCGCAAACACATTCACGTTCACACATTGGAAAAACCATATCGGTGTAAGTACATTGGTTGCGACAAAAGTTACACACATCCTAGCTCTTTAAGAAAACACATGAAGGTTCATGGCTTAAGATCTGAAGAACACTTTAAGATGGTTCATGGAATTGCGCTGGGTAGTCCACCAGGCCTGTTCCGACAACGAACCGATGTAAACACAGGAAACTACTTTTAAAATACACTCCATTGCCAAGAGACATTTGGAAATAGCGAGATATCATAAATCAATAATTTTCTCGTTCTTGTTTCGTTAAGGAAATACAAAAGGAATTTTTTTAGATCCGGAAGTCCGTCGGCGGGTATTGCTGTTGTCAAACATATCTCTTCAATGTGAAAAATTCAAAACACTTGGTACAGGTTACATTTGTTTTCCCTTTGAACAAGTTAGGATATGAAACTCTAGAACTACTTGTTTGTGCTTTAAGCCTTTGAAATCTTAGTGACTACGAAGCTGCAGAATCTGCCTGATTCAATGCAGCTTTGATTTGTAAATGCGACTCAGGTTAATACAAACTCCTTCTTTCACAGAGGCAGGTCATGTTGTCAAATTTTTGCAAGAAATTCATTTTATCTTTCAGCTGTTTTGAACCCGATCGTCTAAGAGGATGTTTTGAATTTAATTTCAAAATTTCTTTTTTTTTTAGTCGTCACAAGGTGTATCTTCACTAAGCTAGTGTCATGTTTTTCATTTCCTTTCAGGAACCTTTACATCATCGTTCCTCTCGGGACAAAAATTATGATTGAACATATTTTCGGATAAAATTCTTGAGAAA